TACAAAAATAAATAAATAAAAATTTAAAAAAATAAAATATTGGTAACAAAAGAGCTAATCAATATCTAATTTTTCCATTTTTGGTTATCCTGATAAAGAATAGAAGAAGTCACGGCCATACTGACCAACATTCCAGTTTAATTTACTTTGCTTAAGTTATTTTTCACACATTTACGATGCTGAACAATTTTTTTTTTTTAATCAGGGTAAAGATTTAGATACTGTAACAAACTGAGAGGTCCCTTTATCTACTACATTTAATATGAACTGATCATTCTCTACCAGATCCACCTCCTTTAGATCTTGCATTCTCTATTTTAGTGAAAAGCTCTGTAGCCTCTCAGAACTAAGTTCATCCTTGACCTCAGCCAATCTCTCTCCCTTGCCTTCCTACACATTTGATCCTATTTGCTTTTCCCTTAGCAGCACACTTGCATGAACTCCTCTGTACCATTGTATGGTAGCTCCCTCAACAGTGAACTGCACTGCCCTCCTTTTCACATCACACTCATCTTCTAAAAACTGTTCATGAGTCACTTCCTCCTGAAAACCTTGCCTCTTGATCCCTTCTCCTCCAATCTTCAAAGCAGAGCATGCGGACCATGCCTCTTTCAAGCACTTAAATTTTTATTGTAATTGTCTATTCCTTCTTCTCTCACTTTGCCTGTATATTGAATTCCTTTGGCAGTAAGCTTGTAACTCTTATTTAAATATTCCAGTACCTAACAAAGAATTGTTTTTTGAATCAGTGAATAATTACAAGAGCACACATGCAAAAGAAAGGGTATCATCTAATAGTAAGAATCTGCTGTTGTTTAAAGTGGTAGGTGGATCACAATGGAATACATTAGTAATGTAGAGCAAAACTCATTCAATGAAAATTACCAAGGATTAAATCAATCCCTCTACTAGCTTACGCCCACTATAACATTGCATAGAATTATAGTCCAAATTCTATTGCAGAATGCTAGATGCACATCTTCAGCTGGATGGTGGCTATAAACTTCCAAGTTAGAATAAAATTATCATCTTTAACTACAACAGCCCAAGTTCCTGCATAAGAAACAAGGACATGAGAAAATATTCCTTTACCTTGGGACCTCTGGGCAAGCTTCCTGCACATAATATTGATTTTGTAACTCAAAAGCAGTTTTAGTATATTTATGTTTAAGACACAAAATTCAGTCTCAGAATCTTAGTCCAAAAAGTCCATTATTTTGTTATGAAGAAGACCATACACACACACACATAGACACACACTCTCTCATAC